CGTCGGAATTTCATAAATATTATGGATTCTGTTGAAAATTACGCCAGACGATGGGCTAGATATGAAAAAGAAGACATTGACACTTTGTCAGAATGGATTAAATGTATCAGATCCATGTTAAAGTCACGTATTAAAAGATTGAGGGGCAAAATGAAAACCATCTATCCTTCTGTGTTAAATAAACCAAAAGTGAAAAAAGAATTAGATAGATTACACGATCAGTACGTACTGGTTCCTGGCCACAAAGCAGGTAACAACATTGTCTTCGTTTGTAAGGCTCATTATATAAATTGCATTTTAGAAGACCTTGGATTTAATTCTACAAGTGGTACTTATACATATACTACTCTTTCTAAGGAAGAAATTCTTCAAAATCACCTGTCAGTTTTGAATACTTTTAATATTCCACAGAGCCAAAATGAATTTGAACTACCTTATATATATTGGATTCCGAAACTTCATAAGAATCCTTACAAACAAAGATACATTGCAGGTTCCAGTAAATGTTCAACCAAGCCTCTTTCGTTACTTCTCACTAAAATATTGACAGTAGTGAAGGAAAAACTTCAAGAGTACTGTACAACTATATATTCAAGAAGTGGTGTAAATCAGATGTGGATACTTAAAAATTCTAAAGAACTTTTGGACAATTTAAAATCACAAGGCTTTATACAAAAATCAACAGCTTAAAAACTTACGACTTTTCAACTTTATACGCAACAATTCCCCACAACAAATTAAAATCCAGACTTTTTGATATCATTGACAGCTGCTTCTTCAACAAAAATGGAACTCGTAAATTTACTTACCTCGTCATTGGTCATTTGAAAAATTATTTTGTTAAAACAGATTCTGATTGCACACATAAGTACTCTGAAGTTGACATCAAGAAGATGCTTGAGTTTCTGATTGACAATATCTATGTGGTTTTTGGAGACCAGGTATTCCAACAATCTATTGGAATTCCCATGGGTACAAATTGCGCTCCGTTATTAGCAGACTTATTTTTATATTCAAATGAAGCAGAATTTATGCAAAATCTTTTACGTGAAAAGAAAAAAACACTTGCTGTGGCCTTCAACTCGACATTTAGGTATATCGACGACGTATTGTCAATTAATAATGATAATTTCCATTCCTACGTCGACACGATATATCCTGGTGAGCTTGAGATAAAAGATACCACAGAGTCCGACACTTCTGCTTCATACTTGGATATTTTACTTGAAAAAGACACAAATGGTAATCTAACAACCAAGCTATATGATAAACGTGATGACTTTAACTTTTCTATCGTCAACTTCCCTTACTTATGCAGCAATATACCTTCATCACCTGCATACGGAGTATTTATATCTCAGTTGATTCGATACGCTAGAGCATGCTCTACGTATGAACAATTTCTTAAACGAGGTAAATTATTGACAAGCAAGTTGATGAAACAAGAATATCAACAGTCTCGTTTAAAGTCATCATTTCGTAAATTCTATGGTCGATACAATGACCTTGTCAGCAAATACAATTTATCATTGAATGAAATGCTGACTGACGTTTTTCATACCAATTGTTAGTCCATTATTTATACACTGAATTGACCACGGATTTTTTTTCCGTTATTTCCTGATTATGACAACGAGCACACGGCGGGTGTGACCGGTCGGCAGGGGATGCTCACTCCTCCATGGCACCTGATCCCACCTCTGATGTTTCGGAGGTCCGTGTTTGCTCTGCTCTTATTTTGTATGTTTGTTTGATGGACGTTGAGATTGAATACTGTTCGTTATTTCCATATCCTTCTTCTATCAAGTACTCTCGTAGTTGACATCCGAACGAAGCATATTGGACCGAATTATCTTTGAAACCAAAATGGAAGTACAAATAAGTGAAATGTTCGATGATTACAATATCAGGGTCAGGAGGACTATTAACAACAACTATGGGGAATGTTTGGTTGTGGAAACAGCGAAAGAATATGTTAGGAACACACGGTTAGTAATATTTTGAGATTATTGTTTTAAAAACATGGAGAGATAAATCGAGAACCGAGCGCACTTTTTTGTGCGCAATAAATATACAGTTTTTTTTCAATGGGTGGCACTGTAGTTCTCCGGTCTATCAATATATTTTTTTTCGGAGAGCTACAGATCTGCAGCTGATATTGTAGATGCTTGTCTGCACAAATCGTGGCAATTGAAGGTAAGACGGGACCACAATTTATAGGGAATAAAATTATATTTTTTAATTAAAATATTATATACATGCAGAACAAAATGGATCCGTAGAACCAACTGGGATAGCGGAAACAAGTGTCTAAGGGGAGTGATTTTTGGGAAAACAGAAGCTAACATGGAAATACAAGTGTAAAGAAAGAATGTTTTAAAATGTTCTCAATAATACCCAAGGTCATGCAAACATGATTTATAAAACAAGCTAATTCAGAGAATCTATGTCCCCCGTATTACGGAAAAGAAGAGGGGGGGGGGTTAAGACGGGTGTGTGTTAGGGAGTTGTGGTATGACATTTCATTGCAAAATCGTAAACGCTTCTTGAGATATCGTCCATGGCCAGAAATGAAAGTTTTACACCCAGAAAGAATATACAAATACATGTATATGAATTAACGATGTTGACCTTTGAAATTTTGACCCCAAACCCAATAGTTTAGAGGCCTTCCTCATAATTAGGACATAGGGGATTGTGGTATAAAATTCCGCTCAAAGGCTACTCTCCATAGATATCGCATGGAAACGAAAATGTTAAAAATAATTTATGAATTCATTACCTTGACCTTTGACCTCAAAATCTTTAAGGCTTTCTTTAGGCCATAGGAGGTTTTTAAAATTTCTTTCCTATAGCTCAAAGGTTTTTTGTCTGTATACCTGTATTTCGGGTTGTCTGTCTGTCTTTTCCTATCTTTGACTATGATAACTCAGACTGGAACCCAAATTATGGTCATATTTCTGAGTGACTATTACTGAGAGTTATTTTAAAAATCTTTTGCTATTTTGAAGTTCTTTTTCCACTGTGTCGAAAATAAGTTAGCCCGGAACCAAAATTATGATCATATTTAACGTTCCGGGTTAGCATTACTGTGTGCATTTTCAACTATTTTTTTGCTACTTTGATGTTTCTATTCTAGTCCAATTAATGACGAAAATAAGTTAGCCCGGAACCAAAATTATGATCATATTTAACGTTCCGGGTTAGCATCACTAGGCGCATTTTCAACTATTTTTGCTACTTTGAAGTTCCTTTTCCACATTATGACGAAGATATATGTTAGCCCGGAGCCAAAATTATGATCATATTTAACGTTCCGGATAAGTCTATCGTAAAACAGCACGATGGGGGGTATATCAATGTAAACAAGTTTCACACCTTCTTTTGTTTACAAAGAATCAAAATAATCAACTGGAATTTCATGGATTAATATAATATTTAAATCAGAGAAATCAATAAATATATAATGTCTCTGGTAAAAAGACCGCATATTCTGACTTGAAATGTAAACACATATGTATGTCTTACGATTAAATCCTGCTGCATCATATACGAAAGTATAAAAGAAAGAAGAAAACTAAAATTAACAGCCAATATTAAATATAAATAGAGAGTTTAATAGGGTGCTTGGTTGCCCGGAACGTTTTTTACAGCCGGAACCAATCTTACGCGGGCCGGAACATTTATTATGGCCCGGAACCAATATTATAGATATTTAGCGTTCCGGCCGGAACGCCAAGTTACCCGGAACGTATATTATGCGACACCGGTCACACCCGCCGTGTGCTCCTTGTCATGATCGGGAAATAACGTCGTCAATTCAGTGTACTCGTATAATGGACTAAAAATAAGTATGAAAAACGTCAGTCAGCGTTTGACTTAATGATAAATTGTATATGCTGACAAGGTCATTGTATCGACCACAGAACTGATGACTTTCAACGAGACAGCTGAAATTCTTGCTTCATCAACTTGATTATCAAAAATTTACCTCATTTTAAAAATTTATTAAAAATTTACCTCATTTTAAAAATGTCTTAAAAACTATTAATCAAATATCATTGCTCTGGCATTAGAAATTTGACAAGCAAAAATATTAATTTCAATATTTTTCTGAATCAGCTATTTTATATACTCAAAAATTAAGATTCATGACGTTTTCAGATATTATTAAAATGGAAAAGAGTTAAAGATAACAAACTTGCCTGACTAAAAAAAATAACCTATATATAAAATGGTAAAAATTACATAAAACGCGGACTCTGAAAACTCTAGAGGGGGATCTGGTGCATAGGAAAAATAAGCATCCCATACTGACCATGCATTGATCAGAGAAACAAATAATTTAGGTCATTTTATGTATAAAACTAAAGGCCTAACAAATGATACGAAAGAGGCGTGCAAAATGCGACCCAGTGATAAATTATATATGCTAACAAGATGACTAGATATATCTAAGTACTGACAAAGTACAGTAATACCTGCACTTAAATGTTTCTATAAAAATCTATTTTTTACGCAAAAAGAAGTTTTCTACTTTCAATCATCTCTAGTGAAAAAAATTCTTATTCTTGACTGCATGTCTACAGGACACTCCAACACTTATTCCCAAAGTTTGGACTACTGTGAAATCTGAGAGGAGTTTATTAGAGAATCAGGTTTTTTTTAACAAAGATCATTTTTGACCCCCATGTAGTACTAGTCCCTTCAATGAAAATAAAAATTCTGAAATCATTGCACATCTACAACCCACCACCAACTTCATCCGAAGGATGATTTGACTACAACAAAAAATGTAAGAAGAGTTCAAGAAACAGGAAAATCTGATTTGAGGGAAAAAAGCTTCCCCGATTTGAAAATCGAAATTCAAAACCCTTATTTTACATCGCTAAGACACTCCCAATCATATTCCAAAATATTATTAGGCTAATGCAAAAAATATAAGAGGAACTTGCCTTAAAAATTCTTTTAAACAATCAGAGTTGCATAGTATGAAATACCGTGGTCAAGAACTCCAGTATTTTGATGTCTGTCTCAATATCTGGTGCGTCTCCAGGTTGATAATTTCTACACAGCAGCAGTTTGTCTTGAGTAATACCAATAGCCTCACATATTTCAGTCTTTTTATCCTCTAGTTCCTGTTCAGACATATCACATTTGTCCACTTTTGTCAAAACAGCAAACACAGGTATTTCTTTAAAAAATAGTTTCTCTTTTTTTACACACACTTACATGTCATCATAAGTACATGTACTAATTCAAAACTTTAGATATGATGAAACTTAAAATGTATATACTTACAGATATAAAAAAAGCTTGTAATTAAATATAAAATTCAGTATAACAAATTTTTGTTTGAGATATTACAAGAACATGTATTTTTGAATCTCAATATGCAAGATACGACATGAATGCATCTCAAATGTAACATATTTAAGATTGATATTAATTGATATTTTATTGCATTCTGATTTTTATCAGAATCAGGAAATTTACTTCTCTTTTTTATGTTTGCCTCCCTATAGATTTCGTCGATGAGTGTCTGTGGAATGCTTGGGCTCTTTGCTGAAATCACAACCATTATGATGTCCACTGTAAGCTTTTTTTCTTCGCTCCGGTCCTTTATTGTTTTCCCCGCTTTAAGTTGTTTGCTGACATCCAGTAGGTCACAATTCTCCGGTAGTCTCCCGTTTATGATCAGATTCATCAACATACTGTTAACCGTGTCTTCTTTCTCATCAGATGACGACAGTTGAGCGTCCAGTCCAATAATGTCGATGAATGTTGGGAGGCAGAGCAATTTATCTCCTTCATCTTCAGGGTCCCAATATTCATCTCGGCTGATTCTATAGAATGTTCAAAAAATGGTGAAGATTAAAGATAACGGATAGTGATTGATCTAAAATACAAATCAAATCCGTGAACATGGCAAAATAATTGGATCCCCTGAATAACCAGAGGTGGGATGAGGAGTAGTAAGCATCCCCTGTTGTACGGTCACACCCACCGTGAGTCGTATTTATTGACATAAGTACTCGGAACATTCTTTAGTCAAATTCACTATAAATACAATACTAACCTGCATGTCAGTAACCTGTCTATTTTTAAATATTGATCGAGCGTCTCCGTATTTTAGAAAATGTACACATGTACATTTTTAATTATCTTTGTCCAGCAATAAATAGTAAATAAAAACGACAATACTAGTTATAAAACACAAGTTTTTTAAATTAACAATAAAACTCAATGAAAAATGAAGTAAATAGAAAAAAGAATGATAAGAAGTCAAATCCATTTATAGCCTCAGTTCACGAGGAATGTCCTTATTATGAAGAGAAAGGGGAGGGTTGAATACATACCTGTGAAATGTGGTGGTGACGTGCTTGTCTCCACCGCCAATGTCGGCATAAAAGTCGTATTTCCCCGTCAGGGCTGTAATGGTCGAATTTATCAATGATGATTTTCCTACTCCGAGTGATCCAACTAAGAGAACATTCTTTGATTCCTTTAAAGCCCTCAAATTCTTTTTCAGGCGCTCCAAGATTTTCTCCTTTTCATTTAATCTTCTTGTTGTCTCCTCTTGTGAAATAGAAAAAAAAATATTTAATTGCAGTATGTATAAGCATTAACCGAGAGGATTTTTTTATTATATTATTCTTTCAATATCATAGAAAATTAAATTCGTTATACGACTTTCATTCTTTATGAAGGCAGAATAAGTTGCATTTTAATCGAGAAAAAAAAATGTTCTGTCGTTATTTTTCTGTTCTATATCTTAAACAATAGCTGTTGAGTTATGTTTTCAAGAAACATAAATAGGTGTATGAGGAAGCTTGTAGAATAATAAAAACAGTGAAATATGGGATGTTAGTCAAATATATCATTTTTAGATTTAAACCGGCGATAGAAAAGTTGCCATGTTTATTTAAGGAATGTTTTAAGACTTCTGTATGAGTTATTGGTGTGTAAATCACACAGACTAACAATTTTCCAGTAGAAGACAAATGTAAAGGAGGGATAATAATTTTTTAGGTATCATAATGATTTTTATTTGTTTCATGAAAATTAATCAATATGACATTAAAAATAATCTTTTTAATGCGGGAATCAGCTGTTCAGTTACATTTCTAAATGATAAAAAAAATTTCGGACCTCTTCACTATTAATTTTGTTAACAAAATAGTATGCTTTAACAGGCTCTTCTGCTTGGATCGATGCTACAGATTCACATAAAGAAGGAGAGTGGAGATGGTCTTCTACTGGAAAATTGTTAACGTACACTGCTTGGGGCAAGAGGGAACCAAATGACGACGGTGGTAAGGAGGATTGTGGAGTTGTCCACAATTCTGGTGGAAAGCTTCTTTGGAATGATCTACCCTGCAGTGCAGAGGTTCAGGCCTTATGCGAAAAAGCAGCCTAACTGAGATTATGTATACGCTTTGTAAGAATAAAACGTACCATATTAATGGCTTTAATTCTTTAGAGTTCTTTTTAACAAAATGTTATTAAATCTATTACACAAGGGACACAAACTCTTAGAGATAAATAGGTTTACTTCAGTTAATCATTGATGATCTTTAACATACCCCATACGAAAATGTGTAGTTGACCGTCAACTAGTCGTCAACTGATAATGCGAAAACAGTTGACCACTCGGAGTTGAATGCTTTTCTGAAAAGCGATCAACTGATTTGCATAAAACGGCCAGTTGACCGTTAGTTGAATGCTAATACTTTGAAATTTCATGCAAAACAAGAGTTGACCACTAGTTGAACACTCCGACTTGTTAGAAAATTTCTCCCACGCTACATTTATGTTGGGTTCAAAATTACATTATCATAGATCGGGTTTGTTATACCATAATTACAACAACCAAGATTTGAATCAGTACATGTGTGTTTTCTGGGAATTTTGATTTGAAACATTATTGTCTTCGTGATGATTCAGCGTGTGAAATATATCTCATGTATTATTGTAAGTATATAAAATGTAAAGATTTGTTTTACTAAGCTTGTTATTTTTAAACAGATAATAGGAATACAAAACACTGTAGCCAATATAGGTCCCTATTTTTGTGTACTTTTTAAATATTGAAAGAATTCTGAAAACTTGTCATGCATCAAGTGTTTTGTTGTGTTTCTTGTTGTGTTGGTAAAAATTACCATTGCATTAGACTGATTCTATATATAACCTTTTCTGCACAAAAAATGAAGAAGGCATGTAACAACTAATGTCAGAGTGTGCCAGCTCTATTAATTCATAATGCAATTAGATTTACAAGTTCATATATGTCAATTTAGAAACTCCATGTTTTGACTTTTCATACTTTCAAAAACACTGCTTGTCTTAGATTTCAAATCTCCCTCCATTTTTTCAAAAATTTAATGAATGCAACCAACGTGCACTGACTAATGGAGTATTCAACTAGCGGTCAACTGTAAAGGAAATAGAGGAGTGTTCAACTAGCGGTCAACTGCAAAGGATATAGTGGAGTATTCAACTAACGGTCAACTGTAAAAGAAATAGAGGAGTATTCAACTAGCGGTCAACTGCAAAGGAAATAGAGGAGTAATCAACAAGCGGTCAACTGCAAAGAAAATAGAGGAGCATTCAACAGTGGTCCACTCTATGCAAATGAGTTGATCGCTCCCTCATTTGCATGGCAAAAATTCAATTAATGGTCAATTGACGGTCAGTTGACCGTCAACTAGTGGACAACTGAATACTCCGATTGAATTCTAATAGTACTTTTTCATATGGGACGTCATCTTTGCAGTCTTCAGATTCCCAGGTTTGATATAAAACAAATTGTTCATACAACCAAAAGTCTCTGATGAGACAGTAGCTTTACTGGTCTGTACGTACAACAAGTGAAAATTAACACTTGGATTTAAAAATGCAATTATGTATCTTAATTTAGTATACTTGTGTGCCATGCTATCTTGAAATTAAACCAAAACTGTAAGAGGAATAGCATTTGGAAAGTATTTCTAAGAAATGTCTATTTTTAGATTTTTAGTAACCATGGCAACAAGATTCGCCAAAAGCAAATACCAATAAAGACTAATGTGCGTTATAATGTAGTCTAATGTAATTCATTTTCTATGAAAAAATATAATGAAGCAAATTGCAAGTATCACCCCGTTTTCTTGTAGTATTTTTAACATAATAGGTAACATCATAAAAAGTCTTTGTGTAAAAATGTTGTAATTCATATATTTTGGAAGAAATTATTTATTTTTAATTTCATTAAAGAAAAAAAAGTATATCTTTATGATAAAATAAACGAGAATATGAATTTTTCATTAATTTTTTTACTCTTGTGTCATAAATATTTACCTTTCTGCATTAAGACAAAGGTAAATAAGCACTGCTGAACATCTAAATATATATTTTTTTTGGCAGAAAATAAGTATTTTGTTTTGATTAGTAACAACTCACACTGATTCAACCTTTTCTTCATGATTCCAATAATTTAGCCCCCCCCCCCCCCCCCAATATCCCCGTCAGCATTATTAGATCTTAGGAAAGGTTTTACAATTAAATCTACTGATCAATAAGCAGATATTAGTACGAGTACATTTTTTAAAAAAATTTCTTATTTTTGTCAAGAAATTGAAATTAATGATAAACATAAAACAAGAGGCCCATGGGCCACATCGCTCACCAGAGCACTAAGGGTAGGAAAAAGTAGAAAATGGCTTTTTATCGTAAAGTTTAAATGACCAATCATGGATTTGCTATTTTTTAGAAAATGATTTTTAAAGAATTTTCCTATATATATCTTTAAACTTTGGTCGGCCATTTTGGCCCCGCCCTACCCCCGGGGGTCATGATTTGAACAAATTTGAATCTACACTACTTGAGCATGCTTCAATATAAATATGATGAATTATGGCTTTGTCATTCTTGAGAAGAAGATTTTTAAAGAATTTTCAATTTATTTATTCGCTTTCCAAAGAATGTGTCAATCAGAAAATACCTAGACATCGATCTATATAGATGTAAATATTACTTCTGGACTCGCATTACTAAGTAGTACATAAACCATTGATTTCATTTAACGATCATTTTTATGTACAGAGCTATCTCTGTCGTATGTTTTTATTAATATTTTACTCATAATTTAACAATTTTCTTACCCATTTTTAAGACTTGGGCTCCTTGGAAACTTATGTTTTCATGTACATTCATCGAAAATGAAAGTACACCAGATGATCCCCGATCTGTACCCAGAGTTATCGTTCCACTTATACGTGTTGTAGCGAAGCGAACGACAACTCTGGGTAGAGATTATATAGAAGCATAGTGGTGTCACTATTTTTTTAGGTTGGTAATATAACTTTAATTTTCTTTTCCACTCTCCGAGTACTCTGAAATTACATAAGATAAACAACGAGAAATACAAGGGCTCTAAAAAGAATAAATAACACAATTTTTTTCAGCAATCAGCAATATTTCTCATAGATTTACATTTAAATTGGTGACCTGAAAAATGTTTACCAAGTATAATGGGAGAATTTATAAGATTTTTTCATAAGGTTAAAAATTTGTGCAATTTTTTTTTATGGAATGCAAAACAAAGTTTCATATCTAAGCACCAATGAAAACCTACGATTTCTTTATATTTCATGGATTTATTATTTATGTAATGTCAAATCAAAATCATTTAAAAAATATCAAACATACCAATCCACGCATCAAAGTTTTGTCTGTATTACATGTAAGTACCCTTAAAAATAGAACAATGTGTGCCAAAAGTGAATATAATTTTATTTTTTCTATTCTTTATTTCATTGAAAACAATATTTTGTAAAATCACTGGCAAATGGTCAATTTTGTCCAATTTCATTATTTATTTCAACACATAAACAAGAAAATGTGTAGTTTATATCTGTGAAACGGAACGCTGTTTCCTATATGTTTATTATAGCGAAAGTTATCGCCCTTGTTATCATTAATTACTAATTATATACATCGAAAATAAATACTTAATTAGTGTTGAATTTGAATTAAAGTGGTCAATAATAATCTTTGTATGTTGTCTTTAGTTGGGTTACTAAAGATATGTTGATTGGAAGCTTGATAAGTGTTTTATTTAGTTTGTAAATAAATATTCACTATGTAATATAGATGGTGTTAAGATATATAGGGTTTTTACTGACATTTTTTTAAAAAAAAAGGTTCTAGAGGTAAAACTCGACAAATCTTGTTGGTACATGTAAGTGTGCGGACCTCCCTGCTTATATTGTACTGTGATAAGTGATAAGTGTGTGGTCATCCCTGCTTATTGCTTGACAGAGTGTGTGGTCATCCCTGCTCTGTGATTGGCATCTTTAAGCAGCAAGTGTGCGGACATCCCTGCTTGTTGCTGCGCAAGATAAGGTGTGTGGACATCCCTGCCTTCATCTTGTGGTAGAGCATTGGTGTGCGGACATCCCTGCCAGTGTCTCTAGACTAGAACCGTATTGGTGTCAAGTGTGTGGTCATCCCTGCTTGTCACTGCGCAAGGGCAAGTGTGCGGTCATCCCTGCTTGTCTCTTGTGGAAGTGGGCTGGTGTGTGGACTTCCCTGCCAGTGTCACTTGTTCGCTACCAGTAAAGACCTTATATAACGCAGTACCAAGTGATTAAGACTGCGCATTGTACATATTTGCAGCATCTCAAGGCTATCCGTTTTTATCACGGGTACGAGCCTGCGGGGGTTCACAGGCAGTGACCTCCCTTGCACGTTACATAAAATTTGGTGGCAGCGGTGGGATACCTTGAGAATAGCTGCACGATGGAAGACATAGACAAAGAATTATCTATGATAGAAGAGAAGCTTGCGGAGCTGAAGGAGGAAAGTATCAGGAATAGAAGTTTCAAGTCGTCGACTCCAGTGACCCCGCGTATAAAAGACCAAGTAAGAGACTCAGGTGTTGGCGAATCTCGCATCTCCGGAGAATTGCGGCAGACAGAAGAAAAGTCATTAACGCTTGAACATGATGGTGCGCTAACCCAGCACGCACCTATCCTTGAAGAAAAGTCTACATGACAATCTCTCAGGGACATGTTTAGAGAAACCGGAGCAAGACCCCGCGATTACATTCATTCAGAGTCTCCTACCAGATTCGATAGAGAAGCGGCGCAAAACGACAAACATTGGAGTAGACTTCGTACTGAAGAACTTTACAGAGACGATCAAGACGATTCTCTTCTCCCTGGGATAACAAGGAGATCAAGAGTTGGATTTGCAAGTCCTCATAGCGGAGACGACGCGCTAGCAGAGTTTCCAGCGCAAAGACACATGATAAAGCCAGCAACGTATGATGGCAGTGGTCCATGGTTGGATTATCATGCGCATTTCGAGGCATGTGCGGAAATCAGTGGATGGAAATATCCTCAGAAAGAATTGTATTTAGCAGTTTCTCTTCGGGGAAGTGCGCAAGGAGTGTTAGGTAACATGCCAAAGGGGACAAAGCCCGATTATCAAACACTTGTTCAAGCCCTTGAAGACAGATTTGCACCCCCGAGTCAAACGGAGCTATACAGGGTGCAGATGCATGAACGGCGCCAAAGAGCTGGAGAAAATCTCCCTGAGTTAGGACAGGCTATTCGCAGACTTGCCAACTTAGCCTATCCCACTGCGTCAGCTGAGATTCGGGAAACACTGTCTAAAGACCAATTTGTGGACGCATTGGTCGACTCTGAAATGCGCATCCGCATAAAGCAGGCGCGTCCTAAACATCTTAATGACGCTATACAATTGGCTGTCGAATTAGAAGCTTACAACAGAGCTGAGAAAAAGAACTATGCGCGCCCAACTACCGTTGAATCCGTTGAAGGAAAAACTGTCTCAATGCTCGAGGAATTAAGCGCAAAGTTTGAATCTATGCAGAGAGAACTCAGAGAAATGAAAGCGGAGCGCAATGAAAGTTCACAGCAATTCCGACCATGGAAAGCAAACCAAACATTGGGGACACAGAAAAGATGTTACTTTTGCCGTAAGCCGGGACATTTACGCAAGGATTGTAGAGCTTTTCAGGCGCAAAGGAAAGCTAAACCTTTACTTACGTCCTCTACTAGAGACCGCCCAGAAAGTGATGGTGCAAAGGCAAAAGACACCAAGCTTTCCAGCAGAAATGTCAAGACCGAAAAGAAAGCATCCATAGGAGCAAGTCCAGTCGGAATGGACGCTGGCCTGTATCTTGAAATGGACGTCTGTGGCGTAAAGGCGAAGCTATTGGTAGACACAGGTGCGACAGTCAGCCTAATATCTACCGAACTGATGAGTAGAATTCCAGGAGAGGATTGACCTAGGCTTGATTCATTCAGTCGTGACATACTGGATGCTGGTGGCAACTGTCTTCAGATAAGCGGTAAGGGAACCTTTCCAACACAGATAAGGGGATTCTCTTGCACACTGGATGGTGTTGTTGCAGATCTGAGCAATGATGGACTCATAGGCCTTGATTTTCTGGAAGAAAATGGATGCACAATTGATGTGGCCAAGAAGAAAATGTGCATTCAGGGAAGACGATACAACCTTATAAAAGAAGGAAGTTATGGGTGTTACCGCATCGTAGCGCTGAACACTGTCCCAATTCCAGCAAATCAAGAGGTTATAATAAATGGCAGAGTGTGTGCGCCAGAGGCCAAAAGCATTACGAAGATGCATGGTTTGGTGGAACCAAATGAAAAGTTCGTGTCGACAGGTACTCCAGTCGGGAGGACCTTAGTTAAAGCAGACAGAGTTGCGCTGAACATGGGACCAGAAAGTAAAACCATTAACAGTGGCACTCATATTGGGAAAATGTCATCCGTCTGCGGAGTACAGAGAGAGAGAAAGGCAAAGAGTAACTCTGTGTTACAAGAAAAATCTGAAGTCTTATTAAGGCGCAGTAGTACCGACCTGACAGAAGATCAGATACCTAAAGTGAGAGGCTTTTTGCGACAGTACCCCCATGCGTTTGCACTCAGTACCTCTGAGTTAGGTTCGACCAACGCAGTTGAGCATGGACTTGATGTTGGCAATGCTCATCCCATAAAGGAACCTTTGCGTCGTGTCCCTTTCCATGCTGCCGAGGAAATAGACAATCATGTAAATGATATGCTGGAAGAAGGGGTCATAGAGCGCTCCTCTATCCCCTGGGCAGCAGGTGTTGGCTCAGTCCAGAAGAAGGATGGCAGTACTCACTTCTGTATGGACTAACCGTCAAAGACACCTACCAATTGCCGCTGATTGATAATGCGCTGAATAGTCTCTCCGGAAATGCATGGTTTCCGACACTGCAATTGTGTTGGGCATACTGGCAGATATCTTTAGTGAAGAAGACCCAGGAAATACAGGGGAAGCGCTTGAGACAAAAGACGAATACCAAGGGAATGAAAGAATTGTTCATACTAAAGATAAAGTTGAAGTTGAAATTAAGCGCAAGCACCATCCTCCCCGCTGGCAGGAAGACTATGTTGTACAAGAAGCATCCAGGGCCAGCATGCGAACCTGATTGGTTCTATTTACCATTGGGTTAAGCAAAATATTGCATTTTGCTTTGCGTAATGGTAAATGTGAAGGGTTACTGTAATTACTGTTCTGTTAGGTAGAATATTCATACATATTTTATTTTGCAGAATGGGGAATACAGTGTAGATATTTGTTTTTGTAAATAGCGTTTGGTACATTTTTGTTAATGCCGCTATGTGTTTTTCTTATGCGAGGACGCATAAAGCTGGGGTGGGGGTGATGAAACGGAACGCTGATTCCTATATGTTTATTATAGCGAAAGTTATCGCCCTTGTTATTATTAATTACTAATTATATACATCGAAAATAAATACTTAATTAGTGTTGAATTTGAATTAAAGTGGTCAATAATAATCTTTGTATGTTTCTTTAGTTGGGTTACTAAAGATATGTTGATTGGAAGCTTGATAAGTGTTTTATTTAGTTTGTAAATAAATATTCACTATGTAATATAGATGGTGTTAAGATATATAGGGTTTTTACTGACATTTTTTTTTAAAAGATTGGTTCTAGAGGTAAAACTCGACAAATTTTGTTGGTACATGTAAGTGTGCGGACTTCCCTGCTTATATTGCACTGTTTTAAGTAGTAAGTGAGTGGTCATCCCTGCTTATTGCTTGACAGAGTGTGTGGTCATCCCTGCTCTGTGATTGGCATCTATAAGCAGCAAGTGTGCGGACATCCCTGCTTGTTGCTGCGCAAGATAAGGTGTGTGGACATCCCTGCCTTCATCTTGTGGTAGAGCATTGGTGTGCGGACATCCCTGCCAGTGTCTCTAGACTAGAACCGTATTAGTGTCAAGTGTGTGGTCATCCCTGCTTGTCACTGCGCAAGGGCAAGTGTGCGGTCATCCCTGCTTGTCTCTTGTGGAAGTGCGCTGGTGTGTGGACTTCCCTGCCAGTGTCACTTGTTCGCTACCAGTAAAGACCTTATATAACGCAGTACCAAGTAATTAAGACTGCGCATTGTACATATTTGCAGCATCTCAAGGCTATCCGTTTTTATCACGGGTACGAGCCTGCGGGGGTTCACAGGCAGTGACCTTCTTTGCACGTTACATCTGTTTTAAACAGATCATTAAATATTCAGTTTTTTTTGTTTTTGTTTTTTTTTTTTTTGTAAAAGATAGTTCATTAATTAACATCAGTTTTTAAATTCAAGATCAATGTTGATTATATAAATCATTGTAAACTCTTGTATGTTACTTCATTTTTCATGTCACATTTAAATTGCAATACATGTATTTTAAAAACACCGTTGCTTGTCTTTATCAACTACAACAATTTCTTTGATTATCAAGAAATTTGTTGTAAATCTGTCAAGAATTGTTGTCACACCAGTGATTTTATAAAATGTTGTTTTCAATGAAATAAGTAGAGAAAAAATAAGATTATATTTACTTTTGACATACACCCCGTCCCGTATGTTCAAATTAATGGAAATTAACCAAGGGTATTTATTAAAAGTTATCATTGTAGTTAATTTTTATTATGTAAATGGGAAAATATATATTTGAAAGAAAACGCGAATAAAACATCAATTTTTAAATAATCTAATTGAAAATGTATCAACAAAAATATCACATGAATTAATGTATTTTTATCTAAAAACCATAGGTTTCTAAGCATAGAAATGTGCATGTTTTACTTCTTATTTGGTATTTTACGAATTTTACGTCATTTATTTATATAAATTTAAATACACAGTTTAAAAAGTTGTGGTCATAAATCACTTCTAATTTCATTGGCATCGAGGGTATATTCAAGAAATAATTCCTATTCTATGTCGATACAATGACCTTGTCAGGGCAAATACAATTTATCATTAAATCAAAAGCTTACTGACGTTCAAAAATTACGCGGACTTGTTGCACAAAAAAAAATATTTGACGACATAATCGGGCAAAATGTCACACATAATATAAAAGAATCTTTACTTATCTGGTCTTCAAATTTTCATACCAAAATTTTGTAAATTATTATCAATTTTAGGTGATTTATCAGGACTTATCATTAAGTCACGGAGCAGCAAAATCTTCGACGTCACGGACATTATAAAAAAAAACATGAGCTTTCATTTTCTCAACATTTTCCCAAAAGCTCCTGTATAGTTTGAGTTACCTTGCCTACTCAACATCCATACACCATTTCTTGTCAAGCTTAAAATCTTTAAAACTAGTACATCATTTTTTTTTTATTATTTATTTATTTATTTATTTTTTTTCTTTTTTGGTTTTTGGTTTTAAAACCAAAACCTGCAGGTAGTTATGAGATACAGTGTGACATTGGTGACTCTCAATCACGTTCTTTACAGTCCGGAAAAGGTTTTCGTCGATAATATCCTTCCCGTCCTCCCGTATAGCCTTTGAACAGAGGTCTAACTGTCTAATATTCCAATTTGCTATTTGTAGACAATTGCCACGAATACTCTAGTTTACTACATGTTTTGTTATGCATATTTTGGATTTATGTTGGCGATATCTCGAGCATAATACACAATTTAACTAAAGGTGGTACTCCGTCAATTCAGGAGACGTCATTTTCTCAGTTGTTTTCACAGGAATCGCATCGGAGAAAAATCACTATATCTCTGTTAGTACTTCAGATATCACGTCAGAAATCTAAATACACAGTAAGAGAACAATAAAAAGATACATCTGAGAAAATTGTCAAAAAATACCTCGAATAATAGAAAATTAACGAGTTAAATTTTTGGATTCCGCATGCTTTTGTTTCATTTTTCTGTCGTACTCCGTACCTCTCCATCAGTGATATCAACACAGGGATAATTTTAGGATTTTTTTTTTAAATACAGAAAATTTGCCCAAAATTTATTGGAATCATTAAGATACATATTCCTGTGAAATTTCCTAACTATATGACGTCTGTAAGAGTAAATAATAGCAGAGTCCGCGTAATTTTTGAACGGCCCTCGTATTACACTGCAGGTGTGAACCTACGGCAGGAGATACTCACTCCTCCATGACACCTGATCCCACCTCCTATTCTTGTTTATTGTTTATTGTACTTGTGAGCTTGAATACTGTTCGTTATCTCCGTAAACATCTCCATATACATGTGTTTCATTCTTAAACTGCATTTGTTTTTAAACTTTTATAAGTTACACTTGATTATTTTTAAACTGCAAATAACCTTGAATTATATCAAGATGCATAAAATAAAACGTGTTGTATGAAAAGTTTTCAACTTCAAGCTTCATGTTGATACTTTTTTTAATTCGATCATTAATAAATTATATCGTAATCCTTCCTCAGCTGAAGAGCAGATATCCATTAAGTTAGAATAACCAGCTTTAAAGATTGAAAACAACTTTTAAACTGGAAATTCAAACTTTTAATATAAATTCATTACAGTACGCTTCCGTATTATCGGGTCCCCGAATTTTATCAGACCATATAGAGCTCAACGAATAATCTGATTATGTCAACAACAATACCAGAAAAGCAAATAAAAGTTTTATTTTTAAAAAAATCATTTTCCTTTTCTTCATGATGACGACGTTTGTGGATATCGTTGTATCATTTGAACATATGTTTTGTCACATGATCAGTCAACACTTCTCCCGGTTCGCCCTTTTCTTGTGTTATGATATATTTGATATCCACGTTTATAACTATGAAACAATAATTTGAAGTATAAAACCAGCTTTTATGCAATGCTGAGTACTGAAATTGCTTCATTTTTAAAAAAATCTAAACTAGACGTATACATTAATTCACACATATATACATCTTTACATGAAACTATACTACGTGTAAATTAGGAATTTCTACTTTTTTCCATTGAACATTGCTTGCTAAATATCTAGGAGTGAATAATTAAAATTTCAAATATATAAGTATGTATTTTTCAATACATGATCAAACGAAATATGGAGATATTAAAAACATCAGTCTGTATTAATTTGACTTAAGGATCGGCTGTGTTTGCTGACAAGGTCATTGTATCGACCATAGAACTTGCAAAACGATAAGGTCATTGTATCGACCATAGAACTTGCAAAACGATAACTTTTTCTTTTATCAATTTATTTTCAATAGCTTGCCTCGTTATAAAAATTGTTCGTATGTATAGCATGTTCTTGCCTATTGCATCAACAGAAGTCATAAATCCCATATGCATGCAGGTATCTAGGGTAAATCGCTACATAAGTAACGAAAGTTGACAATGGAAAAGTTAAATAATTAAAGTCATGAAGATCTTGATAAAGCTTTTTTGTTAGGTTACCACTAACGTCTTTTTGTAGAAAAATATTCAAATGAGAAGTAAATGTGTCAGATTAAGCGGTATCTTTTATTTCAAGCTTATAGGGACATATCAAGTCGACATATGAATGGAAGTAACCGCATGTACTTGTAGTGAGAATACGTCGTCAATATATGAAACATATGGAGATAACAAACAGTATTCAACATCAAAGTCCATAAAACAATACAAAACAGGAGCAGAGCAAACAGGTACCTCCAAAACATCAGAGGTGGGATCAGGTGCCATGGAGGAGTGAGCAGCCCCTGCTGACCGGTCACACCCGCCGCTGGCTCCTTGTCATGATCGGGAAATTACAGAAAATCCGTCGTCAGTTTAGTGTATAAATAATGAACAAACAATTAGTATGAAAAAGTCAGTCAGCATTTGACTCAGTAATGAATAAATTGTATTTGCTGACAGGATCATTGTATCGACCACAGAATTTACGAAATGATGACTTAACGAGACTGCTGATATTCTTTTTTTATCAAGTTGACTTGTTTGTCAATTACTTACCTCGTTTTAGAAATTAAGAGTCAAAATCAGCAAGCATCGAGCATTGAATGGAAAGTCAAAATTTTATTTTTTCAAAAGCTTTTGGTATATAAAAGATTTTGTCTTACCTAATGCTAAAACACAATTAATTTTTTTTTTAACATATGAAGGGACTGGTATCCTAGGAAATTCATTTCCTTAGCAACGGGTTCATAAATCCTTATGAAAATCAATGATTTTTAGCCATTTTTCTATGAATATATTTTCTGAGCGTGATAAGATAAGATATTTTGGTTACCTTATTTGTTGAAAGATGGAATTACTTTATTCTCCAAAAATAGGAAAAACAAAATATCTGTAGTGATGTTGTTGCAATGACAACGGTAAAAGAACATGGCGTCAATGCTAATTAATTTTGAAAAAAAATTACATATGTTTATCACTCTATACGCAAAATCTACAACCACTGCTGGAAAAATGAATGCTGTGATGTTGTTAGGGGTTATCTACCGTATTACGGGTATTTTTTACGTGCTGCTAATTTTTACTAATTTTTACGAGTTTTATAAATCCGTAAAATTTAAACGCGTAAAATTTCACATAATTTATAAAACGGCTCGTGTAAATTTTCAACACTGGAAGGATTTGGGTGTCCCAGAATATATGATACCATTTCAAGATTACGTAAAACATACGGTAAAGTAACGAATATTGACATACAACAAATGCACTATAAATACTGTCAATACTGTCCAATTTTATTCACACAATTTGACGGACATTGAAAGGACCATGACAAAATAAGTTCATTCTAAAAGTGTGATAATTTTAAATGACGTCAAATCTGGGAAATGGTCATGTTCAGATATTGCACATTAAGACTGCATTGCATTCTCTTTAGTTATAATCTAACTTTTCATCAGAAATATACATTTTTAGACAAGCTAAAGATCTAGAATTAGGATTGGTAACAATGTCTTAAGACTGGATTTGATAATTACAGTATTGAAATGAGGGTACCTAGCTTGTTTGTTAAATCCATTCTGCTTGATTATAATGCAATTTTTTGACATAATTTTGTGGCTACTTTATTCCAACTATGTGAGAATTTTTTCCTAAAATATTTTGTTGTTAAAAATTGTATTTATACAAATATAAATGAGACAAATATCAGCAAAATTGGTCAAGAAATCCATTTCTGACAATAACTTCAAATGGTATCATATAGTATGGGACACATGTATTTCTCCATAAAACTCTGATCACCCATCATGGCCACCCTAACTCTGGGGTCATACTAGTCCAATCCACACTTTGCAATAGTTATGCCCCTTTGCAGAGTCAATCAAAAGCTTAAAAGGGAAAGCAATGACATTTCTCTTCTTTATGCTACTAAACATTTGGGCGACACTTCTCCAATAAATCCACTGTTAAAATTTTTGGCTTTCCATATATAGGTAGTCCCATCTTGGGCAATCATTATACAAAATGCACATAATTTTTCCAGTCAGGTGGAAACGTTATACAATTACAAACCAGAAAAATATAAAGGCTACTGTGAGGATTCTATGGGTTTTTCCCCAAAGATGGCAGCCAAGGGACATAACATTTGAAAAGTGTGGATTCAACTATTTAAACAAACTTGTTTGAACTAAATCATTAAGCTTTCACATAAGTTACCTAGTAAATCTTTTTTGACCCAGTGGTTCTTCAGATGTTTTATTTTTCAAATAACAGAAATAAGATTTTTAGAAGTAGAGTACTATCAAAGAAAACAAATGGCAAATATATTGATTTTTTTCTTTTTTAATTCTATAATTAAATGAATTAAATGATGCAGCTTCATGTGTTAAGGCCAGAATAAAAATATTCCTAGATTCTCATCCCCGCCCGCCCCGATTTTATACCCCCGCCTCGATTTTTTTTATTTCTGTTTTTCTTCGTCTTAATTCTGATCGGGATCAGTATTCATCTACCATTCTACTTTCGTTTTAAATTCCCGAAAGTCGACATGATTTTGACAGCTGAAAAGATAGTAATTGCTGTAATACATGCATATATATTTTAAACAAGGGTCATAGGTTGAAAAAGATTGGTGATGATGTGATGTAAGAGATAATTGAACCTTTACTATATGACTTTTATTTGGGAATTGTAGATAAAATTACACCGATTGACCAGGTCAATAAAAAATATGCAAAATTGAAAAAATAAAAAAACATAAAATAAAAGCCGCCGGCCCGCCTCGATTTTTAAAAAAATTCGGATGAGAATCTAGCAATTTATTTATTATGGCCTAAAGGAAACAAATCTGTATTTAAACATTTTTTTAAAAATATCTGTTTAACACGACATAGATTCTTCCTTCAAACTGACTGTGAAAAAAATTTCAACAACACAGCATCATATCACAAAAAAACATTGAATCAAATAAGCAAGTGTTTCATGATGTTTAAATAAAATAATCAAGGTAAAAATTCATCTTTTAAAACAACTTTCTAAATTCTATTTCTGTAAATATTGTTGAAATATACGTTTTGCATTTAGAGAAAAAAAAAGAATTCTTCAACTTTACATAACACAACCTTGTGAACAATAATATGAACTTTGTTTTTGTTCTTAAATCTTACATGTTTATGTAATAAATTAATTTTTCATAAAATTATCATTTGATACACTACAATTATTATAGCACCATTAAGAAAGTCTTCAGAATTTTTGTTTTTAAAAAAATCACAACCAGAGTGGAGTATTCAGTAATGAACACATATTCCTTTTTTCTCAATATAACAACTTCACATATGCAACTGATATTAAACTATATCACTAAATCTTATCATTTAGTGGCCTCCATTTTAGATACTAAATTCTACCATACAGGTATATTCTATTAAACTAGAATTAAGTTTACTTGATATGTTACATGTAAATATATTTTCTCCAACAGAGCTGCTCTAATGTAAATTCACTTTTCTAATGTTTTAAGGAAAAACGTATAAAATTGTGATGCTTAAACACATCATGTTAACAAGATTTGCATTTAAATGATAAAACAGGTATGAACTAAAAGATGCTCTTAAAAATATGAAGTGTGTATCTTAAAAAATGGCTGGGATATAAAAATAATAAACAGCAACAAAAAGTTCAAAAGACAAAAACTAAGGAGACTGGATACTTGAGATTACGGTCTCTGTAGACAAGGGCAGATAACTGTGTCCTGATGACTAGATTTACCAGTTTTCTGATCTCTGCATCATTCGATTCACTTTACGTGGCGTTGACACTTGGTTGGTCTCCCCTTTCATGATGGAAAACATCTCTGATGACTGATTTTTCTGATAAGAAAATCGACCTTCCGGTCGCATGCGAGGTGGTGAAGTCTTGGGTCTCCTGAAATCAGAAAATTCTTCTTCATTCATTACTATCTAAAACATTATACATTCAAGACTAGTTCTTAATCAAACTTCTCATAATTCTGGAGAAGAATTTGAAAATGTGAATTACTGATTGAAAACATGACATCAATACTGACAAATGAAGAATGTTTTTCAGCACTATTACACAATTGTACTGTTATAACAAAATGATTCTTTAAAAGTCAATGTCAATCCACAATTTTTCTTATCAAATCACTCCAAATAAAGTTCTGTACTCCAAATTTTCCTTACTAATCATTTTTGTTTATTGACTGGCTCAATGTATAATTCAAACTTACGGTGTCTCTGACTCCTGGAGTTGTGGGGGTACCTTGGGGGTGCGGACAGACGGTGGGGGAGCCTCCATGTCCATGACCTGGAGATTTCTGATGTGCTGTTCATGGTATTTATCTGCCACGCGGTCACCTTCTGGCCTTGACCTTACCACAGGAGGAGTTTCATCCCAGCTAGAAAAAAGTCATCTCTCTTCTTACATACATTGAAGAAACCTAACTGCACTGTTAATATGATAACATATAGTAAAACTCTTCTTTCTCAAACTAAAAAAAACTTTTTTATACAAAATATAGAAGCCCATAGATAGAACTTGGAACTAAACTTTACATAAGAGTCAAGACTGGATTCATTTGATATAACCTTAATGTGTTTAAGATCCCAAATTCAAGTATGTATCAGGGTGCAATTTGTCAACACAGGGTTCGACATTAACGTTAGTCCGTTAGTCTCAGACTAATACATTTTCTTTCGGACTAATAAATTTTGTGGCTAATTAGTCCGAACGGACTAATTAATTTTTCTGGGAAAAAAAAAAAATTTACCGATGTTCAATTCTCGACAACTTTCACTGGAAAAACCCGTATTTATTTTTAGCTTTCTAGCTTCTTGGCGGGAAGTTACGTGATTTTTAGGACTCGATTGTATGAAATTAAACATTTTAGCGATCATGATTTAGTATGACACATAAAAAAAGATGTCGGAATCATGTATAGAGAAAAACGAATGAGATCGGGAATACGACCATAGTTCCTGATTGCGAGATTTTCAACGAATCTTGGTATAAAACATTTCATGTAAATTTTTTGATTATTTCAAAAAAAGTATAAAATTATTTATATAATTGACGGACTCATAAAATTTCCCGTGGACTAGTGAAAGTAAAGAAACACTAGTCCGACCGGACCAATGCCTAAAAAAGTTAGTGTCGAACCCTGGTCAACATGAGTCAGAAATTCAATATATTGTTTACATCAATTACCTGATTAATTACAAAAGAAATATACACTGTAAAATGCAGTTTAAAAGTCTATTCATGTTTTCCTCTTTATGCAACAATTAAAAGATTAATTTCAATGCTTATCTGACATTTAAATATCCTGGTACAAGAATCCAGGATACACTACAGGCAGTTTGATTTCTATTGGAACATTTCGTTTTATATCTAGTGGCCTTTATATCATGAAAATAAATCTACAGTACTTACCCTGGTCCCTGGGACTCTTGGTGTAGCTTGTGGACCTTAGGTTCGTGGTCAGGAAGACGTCCCTCCATCCTCAGCATTGGTCCCATATCCTTCCCTTGGTATTTCTCCTGCACCTCCTCCCCTCCAAAGTAAACCTTGGGGGCGGGCTGCTCGGGTAACGGGACATCAGCGTAATTGTTCATCAGCTTACTTACAGTCCCCTTGTTTCTCTCGGCATATTCCTCTGCATCCATCCCTTTCACTTTTGGCCCTTGTCTTCCATCATCGACACGGAGATTCCCGTAATTCACCATCAGATCCTTCATGGCTCCCCCTTTCCCTTTGTCCGCCATTTCTGCAGCTTCGGCCTTCACAGATCTTGGATGTACAGCTTTCTTCACGGGAGGATCAGCATATCCCCCCATACACTCACCCATCACCCCTTTATTGACCTCAGCTACCCTCTTAGCCTCCTCTGTTCTGAGTCTCTCCCCTGGGCGAGGAGATTCATACTTTTGATTCTGGCTGTAATCAAACCACTTTTCCATGGCGCCCCGATTCCTGTTGGCGTACTCCTCTGCCTCTGGTTTTACCCTGTGGTGGACCTCGAAATCTGGAGTGTTGCTGCCTTTTCCTGACATCAGGTCACCAAGGGACCCTTTATTGTGTTGGGCGTTCCTCCGGGCCTCAGCAGACATGATCCTCTCTCGTGGAGGTGGAGAATGATAACCCTGGCCATTATCATGGCTGAACCAGTTCCCAGCATCCTTCTGTCTGTTGGCATTCTCTGCAGCCTCAGGTCTGACCCGGGGGTGAGGCTTGGGTGTAGGGCTGGGTGTGTATACCCCGTTATAAGTTGACATTTTGTTCTTTCTTCACTCACTCTCACATTGGTCAGTATTGAGGTCTATCAATAATAAAAAAAACATTGATATTACATTTAGTGCATACATACATATATTATACATCTGAAAATCTGGAACAGTTACTATTTCTTTCAAATCTGTACATACAAGATAAACTTTGACATTATTTAAATAAATATAGAGAATTTGTACAAAAATGTTCAAAGAAACAAACATAATTTACCAGCTAGATTCAATGTCTTATGATAATATTCCCCAATCAGATGTGTACTATTGCCTTACAACATGCACAAAGACACAAAGTAACCACTTATGTTTTTGGAACCAAGCAGTGTCTTTATCACGACCGTCTGACCTGTATAAATCTACTACACGTCATTATCTCACACTTAATGCTAACATTACACAACAAGTCTCTATCAAGGTACCTCTAACTTTTGACATTTAATTTTTATTTCTACCCAATAACACTGTAAACTGCTTTCCCATGGGAACAATTCCCCTGTTACCTATAAAGTGTAGTTTAATGATAAACAGTTTTTCACAGGTATACTGTAATAACCAATTGAGTTTCTCCTCAGAATGTCATTGCAGTGCTTTATTCTTTTAAGAGGTAGGGGGTGTCACTGGATTTCATGGACTATAAAGGCCTCAACATGCAGCAGACAATACGTGATCCTTAGGGGGGCTGCTTACCGTGGTGAAGTCTGGTCAGTTGTGGCCGTGACAATACACCACCCCGGGGGAAGGAATATTAACAAAAGTAACTGTAGTGTGTCTGAAGTAGGTCTGTCAATGAGTGACCAATATCTAACTTCTAGTTCCAGTATATAGGACTTAAGAGGTACAAAGTTACACGTAATGTGTACAGTACATGTCTCTGTGATAAGGTACATGTATGTAGATCAGCTGTGTTTTAACATAATTCTGGATCAATCAAGCAAACATAATTACTTTCCTGAACAAGATTGTGAATCATCATTGTTCGGTGCTTATGCCTTGTGGACAGCATTGTACAGTGATTATCATAGCAAGCTGTACAAAGTTTATCACCTGTCTGGCTGTACACACCTTTGTGAAGATGTTCTCTTGTCTAATTCAACAGAAAAAGGAATGTGTGTAAATACAGCACTACATTAATCTTTATCTTAAAAACTGACACTGTCATCCCTGACACAGACTGACTTAAAATTTAATTAAAGCATTCCTCACCTACAAATAGCAGCTACATGGAATATTTTACCTCAGACAAGTTAAATAACAAGCATAGAAACTCCGTCATCTCTTCTACAGAAAGATTTATACATGTAGCATGTCGATGTGATTATATGAAGCAATAAATATAACACCATGCCTCTCACATGTAAAGATAATTGTCAAGTCGGAAAATCTCAATAAACATGATGAAGTGCACTTTCTGATAAAGGCTGATATCAGACTAATACATCCATTTTATAAAGTATTCAAAAAAAAACAAAAAACTTGCCAATGGCAATAGTCAATGAACAGAATTAAAAAATAAAAATACACTTACTAATCTAATGAAATATCCCTTTTTGGTCTATACATGTAATTGTATCCCATTTACATGGGACAAACACATTAAAAAATCACCCATTATCAGACTTGAGTCCTCTCTCCACCTTAGGTTTTTTATTATAACATCATTTTCACTCAACCATGAAGTCACTTAAGCTGTTATAGACTTTTACCTATCTATATCTTGTACACCTTGACAAAGGGACAATTATATGAATGAAAAATTTAAATGACGTCGAAAAACCATCCTTAGCCTTCATAATACAGGAATAATAAATCCAATTTAATACCTTTCGAATCTGCAAAAAATAATTAAGTGTAACAGATCATATACAAGTAAGTATCCCTTGACATGCTCAATGGAAAATACACTGACTTTAATCCCTAGAGTATGCATAATTAATTTAACCTATCTGTTGATTACATGTACAGTGCTGTATTTACTTACATTTAAGAGTGTTGATACTTAATCATACAAGAGCTCCAACAGAATCAACCTAATCTTGTTCCATGTTTCTATTACAAAACAAATCAATTCACATGTCGACACCAAACTAATTGGTTCAATTTAAATTCCGATTAAAGCTAAACAAAGACAATGTTGCAACCGTCTAGTGTACACAAAGTGCACTCATGCCCATCAACCAAAATATGTCAAAGAGTTGAACAAATGTGTTACAGGCTTACAGTGGTTTCTTTTAGCACTCTTAATCATGTTACTCGAATCAGGTCATATCTGCATTATATATAAGTGACTTTCAATACAACTTTTAGCATATTCAGAAGTACACTTGTATGTGCATAGTGCATAATTTTTTAAATGTTGACTGTATTAAAATAAGTTTTAAAGATAAGATTAAGGTAAAAAATAACTTAGGCCTATTTGATTATTATAAGGCTATTTTGTTTTTGTAAATAGATTTTTCAATGAAATAGTGAATTATATAAATTTTTGAATAAAAAAAAATACATGAATGCAATCCACATGATCCATACATCTTTGCTAGCCAAGGATTTCTAGTCTGATTCTCTTGGTTTGTGAGGAGACTAGTGGATCAGGTATCCGTAGACTGTGGAGATGGCAGTACCAAATGCCAGTGTTTTAATTTGCTTGTTTTGACCAATGTGCACAAACTTTGACTCATGTAGATAGTGTGTAAAAGCATACCAATGCATTTAGCATCCCCATGGAAAGAAGAATGAATGAAAACAATGAGAGCAGACCTAAGGAATCTAAAGGAAAACAAAGGAGATACATTGTACTAACCAGATCAACCTACACTGCCCCATGCCTGGGTAAGCCATGTATACAAATCCCAGAGAAGAAATGTTAATGAAGAAGTAAAACTGTGTCTGTTAGTGCTTCCATATGTTTCTCATCACACAGTCATCAACATATCGAGTCTGCATTTTGAAAGCTACACCTTTTCAGAATACCGGTAATTAGACTCTACTTACGTGATAGAAGACACCCAATTTATTTTTTATTTCTTTCCAACATAACCATGATAACAAATAAACAAGTGCCTGAACATATAAAGCAAGATTAAGATATGGGGAATTCAAGATGTGGCTTTACATCTTTACAGGATGTTCAAGTATGCATGCCAAAAAATGAATATTTGGACCTTAATGAAAACCAATTAAAATCATCCCGATTTTGATTCCTTAATAATAAAATGACTGTTTATTAAATGAAAGATTTCCATTTCCATACTTCTGTTCATGAAAAGACCGAGTACAATGTTAAACTACCACTGGTAGTTTAACATTGTACTTAGCTGCAGAACTGTAGCTCTCTGAAAAAATATTTATTGATAGACCGGAGAGCTACAGTGCCACCCATTGAAAAAACTGTATATTTATTGCGCACTAAAAAGTGCGCTGTTTTTCAATTTATTTCTGCATGTTCTTAAAACTGTTATTTCAAAATATTACTAACCGTGTGTTCCTAACATATTCTTTCACTGTTTCCACAACAAAACATTCTTCATAATTGTTTTTATGAGCCCTCCTGACCCTAAAATTGAGATCATCAAAAATTTTGCTTATTTATACTGCCATTTTGGTTTGCAAGATAATTCGGTCCAACACGCTTCGTACAAATGTAAACTACAAAAGTAATTGATAGAGGAGTAAGGACTTTATTGAAATCTAGCTTTATTTGCAATTGAGGTAAGAATTTGGAAGAATTAATCCAGAAACAGCGCACTTTTTTGTGCGCAATAAATAAACAGTTTTTTCAATGGGTGGCACTGTAGCTCTCCGTTCTATCAATATATATTTTTTCGGAGAGCTACAGTTCTGCAGCTACATTGTACTCAGTCTTTGCACATAAACAGAAGTACCAGTAATGCCTATGGAAAAAGGGGTCCTCTGCTATTTAGGTTAAAAAATGAGGGGTAGATAGTCATTTCTTTTCATATTTATTCTTAAAACAAAGCATCTATTTTTGTAAAAATGATTCTTGACGTTGAACATAAACTGGAATTTCAGATCTTAACTGAGGAGCATTTTGATTTATAAAAAGGTCAACACTATAAATTAAGACTAGTCAGGGAAGCAGAAACAAACATATTTTTTAAACCTAAAGCAGTAGAAAAGTAGATCACCTGACTTAATTAGGAGCATAAAATTGAATTTATTATTCATCAAGTTCTTCATTATTATAAATGATAGGTGTACACTGATAAATGATATTTGTTATTCATAAACTAGAACTATAATGAAGCAATATACAATTTCAAAGGAGTTCTGAGTACTAATTTATGCTAATTTTTGCCTGATTTATGCCTTATTTTTGACAACATAGGATTTTTAAAAATTTAATAATTGTTTATGATTATAAAGTTGTAATTTGTACTGGTGACTTCATTAAACAATTGAACAATGTCTGTGTTAATGATAAAGGACAATTAATGGTCATATATTTGATATGCTATTTTTCTTTTTATGCGCCCGGATCGATATCATAGATCGATTGCACATATTGTTTTTGGCCTGTCTGTCTGTTGTCAACTTTAAAGGTGCATAGACACAGATTTGAAGTGGATATTTTTTTGCCACTTTTCCTAAGTATTAAAAAAAAAATTAAAATTTATGAAAGTGCAAGGACATGTCAATCAAAACAATCCAAAAATTTAAAGTTTCAATAACTTTTAGATGAAATAATATTTTTTGTGATATTATTCAGAAAATATTAACTTCTAATCTGTGTCTATGCACCTTTTAACCTTCAAAGACTTCAGGATTACTCCACTAATTAAGCTCTTTTAAATGACATCAAGGTCAATGACCTTGTGACCTAAGCTGTGGAATGACCTTGTGACCTAATCTGGGATCTAAACGTTAAAAACAGCTTTTTCAATTTTTCGCCATAACATTTAAACCATTAGGGCTGAAACGATACGCCCCCTCCACGATACGATACGTATTGCAATACTTGTGTCACAATTCAATTTTTTCAATACGATACAATTTCAGAACGAAACTATTCATAAGGTTAAAGAAAACATATTCAGATTTAAAAAAACAAAGAGTAAAAGGTGGTGATACAATAGAAATATACTACCAGGGGTATGCAATCTAAAAATTCAAGTACTAGCCCACAGGCTAGTGGCAGCAATAAAGTTACTAGCCCCAAGTACAAAGATATTAGCCCAAATATAGGGACAAAAATTAAAATAAAACAAATGTTGAAAAAAAATTAATCATTGAAAAAGTCAGGGTACTAAGGTCAACCTTTTGAAAATTAAAATTTTATTCTCACTATTAAAATTAAATCATATAAAATTAATGATTATGACAGAAAATAAAAATGAATTTAAGAAAAAACATCTGAAGATCTTTCCTTTTCTGATTATTTTGCACACTCATTTAGAATGAAAATAAATTCATTTTGTTTTCATATTAAATCCTTAAATACACTAGAAATATATTTCATGTGAATCACACTGATCTTTCAGTTGATCGAGTGATCGTAAATAATTTTAATGAGATATCTGCATGTATTTACAATAAACGGAGGAAATTCGGATTAGGAAAAAAAACGATCGTTTTTGGAAGTAAATAAGTCAGGAAGTACTGCAAAATGGAGAAATTATGGAGATTTATTGACAGTAGGAGCATGCTGCCTGGAAAATATTCACTGGTTGGGAATTTGATAGCAAAAATGAGTGAAATACCGGTTGTACTTTATGTATTACATGCGTAGTTACAATTTTTACTAGCCCGAATTTACTACTTTGTTAATTGCACATCTCTGATACTTGTGGTTCTGTTGATTAAGAACACTTTATTCGTGTAAATAATAGCAGAGGCAGCCTACTCTGAAACTTTACCGTCCCAATTTTCTCCCTCGTGTGTGTCAAACTGTTAAAATAAGGTCGAACCCGATCTATTTCAAAGAGTTAACCAAACCCGATTATAAAAAAACGTATCGAACCGAAAATCGAGATGGTGAATCGAAAATTGAACCGAGCACTTATATCGAACAATATCGATATTTCGGTGAATCGTTTCAGCCCTATAAACCATAGGACATGTAGGAGATAGAGACTTTATCTTTGGTATGCATACTCCACTAATTAAGTTCTTTCAAATGGCACAAAGGTCAATGACTTTGTACCTTGACTGTGACCTGTGTATGTGCTGAACTGTGACCTGTGTATGGCTAAAATAGCTTTTTCTAAATTTGTTGTCACCGGGTGCATAGTGTTTCACAAACACATCTTGTTTTTTCCTTCCCACGAAAATACTCAAGCAGATTTCAACATCTCATTGTCCCCTGATACTAAATGAAATTTAAAATTCAACATTTCCCTAAAATAAAGAATGCAGAGCTTTTAAATCTTAACGAATCCCAAAATGCGGTTGTTAATGCAACTTCTGCTGCAAAGTTTAAAAATAAAATGATATATCACCAGTAAGGATACGACTGTTTTTACTTCACCAAAATTAAAGCAATTTTCAGTAATAAGGCCATGTAAAAATTTATAATCTTCAGAAAGGAAGTTTGAACAAGTCTCTACAACAAACTTCAGGTGTTCTGAGCATGATCCATATCCACAATACTTTTGGGAGTGTAATCGTGATAATTTCTTTAGAATATCGTCATATTTAGTAGAAATTTTACACAGTAGTCATTATAGCTGGCTAT